GAGAAAATACATAGAGAATAGGAACATGATCAAGAAGCAGGGTATCCCCCTCCCACCTGCAATAAGTGGTAAATGGATGATGCTAGATCTCTATAAGATGATGGGAACTTCTGATTAAACTCCCACTTCCTTACCCTGGATATGGTTAGAGATAATTGCTTCCCCAAGAAAGAGGCATAGTCTACCACAGAACATGCTGACAATGACCAAAGCTGCCTCCATCTGCAACTTGACTTTTTACCAAAGTGTGGAAATGGGCTTATTTCTCCTTGCCTTGGAGTGTGCCTATGTCTGGGCAGGGGCAGCGAGGAGGAAGGGGAGGTGGAAGAGTAAGGAGGGGCCAGAGAACTCTTCTTTCCTGAAAGCCAACTTACCCCTCTCTACCCCCATTTCCCTCTGTCTTAACAGTTCTGGGAACCCCAGTGCACCCCAGCATCAGTGTTGCTAAAGGCACATCAAACCATGATCTGTGTGTGCCCTCCTAGAGCCTGTCAGGTAGAGGTAGGACTATGGCAAGAGTTTCCATAGCTTCAGTGGGGGTGGGGGCAGGGTAAAAAGGTGGATAAAATGAGGATAAGGTGGGGCTCAGGGGAAGTGTCTGTGTGTGCACTGTGTTTCCCCAGGTCTGAAAGGCAGGGGGGTTAGAGCACACACTGGGGCCTCTCCAGACGAAGATAACCACATGAAACACACACTGCCACACTGCACCGGCTTGATTCATGCCCGGAAATGTTTCTCTGGATCTTAGAGAAAACTTTCCAAGATACTTCTGGCCTAAGTGGCAGCTTCCTCTTCAGCCAAACATAAATGAGGAGCAGCCAGAGGGCAGACAAGGAAACAGGGCAGGGGAGGAAATGAGAGGTTAAGGAGGATAACATGTAGCGGTGAAACAGAACCTGCATCAGCTTCCTGTTTCAGAAAATGTGGTTTTCTTTCCGGGTCAAGACAAGACTCTTAGGTATGGCTGAGTGAAAGGAATAAGAGAAGGAGACACAGCAAGACAAGATACCCACAGATTGGACCAGAGAAGAGAGGAAAGAGGCTGAACAGAGGTAAATGAGTGTAGTTTCCAGTAGAGCATTAGGTCTGCATGTTGGCTCAGTCTTCCTGATATGGACACTTTCATGGCACCAGCCTTCTGATTTCAGAGGAAGTAAGCTATTGAAGATCCAGCTATACCCTTAGCAAATTCATCCTTCCATCCTCTTATGTCATAACCATTCTCTGATGCTCACAGTCCAAAACAAGGGCTGAAGATAGATTTCAGAATCCATACAAATGTTTTCCTGGTTACCTGTTCCAAGAGATGCCCTATCCAATGAATGAATGAACAAATGACTGAATGAACAATTCAATGGTCAAATGAGATTAGGGATGCTGCATTTTAATCTTCTGCAAAGGAGAGTAGGGGATGCTGAAAATCAATCTCCCTTTTGAAGAGATACAGATCCAGGTAACATAGTACAGGTCCTGAGGAGTCTGTGCTGAAGGAATTTGTTTAACATTTTTTTAAACTTATCCAACTGAGGACAGGACTACTAAAATTAGAGTCCACAATACTGTATACTATGTAAATAGTGCCCCTGGATTAAAAAATGTATGTGGCCATAAAAGGTAATTCTTGCCACGGACCATTTTTCCCCTCTGAGTAACACCTGTTAACATCTTGAGAGATTCCTACATTCTATGGACACAGCTTGGGAAACACTGGATTAGGATAATGCTTTGCCTATCATGAGACTCCAAATGGCACTACTTTCACAGCATCATCAGGGCTAAAATCTGAGTGTGGTTGACTCATACCAGTGTATTCATCCATCAGTCCTGTTGGAACCCACAAAATCCTCTACAAGACGGTTTCCTGAGATAAGGATGCAGCTTGTGGCTATAGATGAAGGATGAGATTAGCTCTGCAGGAAAATATCATTCACAGCTACAGTTTTCTTTGTTCGGTACTTTAAGGCACTAGTTTTTGATCTAAGTCAATTCTGGAATAAAGAACTGGTGGTGGAAATGCTCCATGGTCCTTCTAAATGTGAGTATGTGTAGTAAAGAATGCTGGAATGGAACCATGTCTTAGAACAGCTGAAGCACTGAAATGATCTCTGGACCTGTTTCCCTTCTCTTAAGTAGCTCATATCCCATACATCTTCAGTGGTTTTTGGTCTAGATTCTAAACTAGCAATTTGCAAGGTTTTGTTGCACATTAGAACCGGGCATTTAATTCTGATGCCCACACCCCATTCCAATTAAATGACAGTGCTGTGGGTAGGAGTCAGGCATTTGAATTTTTGAAAGATCCCCAGTAATTCCATTGTGCCACTGAATTGAGAGATTGCTGGTTTAGAAGCACTTTTATCTCCAGAAATATAATTATAATGGCCGTGCCTCTGTGAGAGATGCAGGACAGGAATTCATCCACATCCCCATCTTGTTTGATAAGAGAAGCCCTAAGTATCATGATCAAGGTCACACACTCATGTCAGGTTCTAGGCAGGTGTCACTTCTTTGAATTTATTTAGGTTAAACCCAGCCTATCAGACTAGATACTGGAAATAGTGGGATAAGAGATTGGGTGCAGGGGAAGCTGGGGTTGAAAACCCAGTGGAGTGAACATGGCCTCAATGCAACGCCTCCTGCCCGTCCGTCAATGCTGTTTCTGTCTGTAGACTGCTGATTTGCATTTCACTTATAGAGACAAAGTGCAACCTTTGTGTCAAGCCGAAGGAAATTATAAAAGCTCACAGCTTGTCTTTAGACTTAATGTCAACTATTTGTCTTCTTTTTTTTCAAACAAACAAGTCCCGACATGAGTGTTGAGGTTGTAGCAGACATTCGCTCCCCTGGTTTTCTAGTTTCCTTGTTCCTGCATTGGCAGGTGTGAGAAAAACTAGCCACTTTCTAGAATCATCCTATCAACCACAGAGGGCTGTTGTGGAGTCCAGGGACATAAGGTGAGAGGTTCTGAGCAACACAGTAGCTCACACAGTTGCAGGCTTATGCTGAAACAATTTACTACTAACTGGACTTCTTTCAGGCTTCAGAGTTCATTAACTAGAAATTTAGAAGCAAGGATAACAGGAATTACCCACAATTACCCAAATAGCACCAACTCAAAACATTTTTTTTCACCATCTGGTATGACTGAGTAACCCTATTGTCCATATGGGTGAAGTATGAACACATTCCTAGCAGCTCTGCAATATGAAAGTCAAGTGTTCTTTCACTGTAGCTAGAGAGACGTGGGCTGGGTGACACTGGGGGTGACATGCTCCAGGTGACTGGGAACTTGGATGGGTGACCTGAAATTTTGAGGTCCCATGGTAGATCTTAGAAGAAGTAAGATGCTTCTATTTCCATTTTTTATTATTTGTAAAATTCTCTTAAGGTTGGAGAATTATTTGAGCATTATTTCTTCCTTAGACTCAGAAAAATGATACTGTGAATTCTCCTAAAAATGTATTGCCATGAAAGATTTCCCCCAAGACAATAGTAGGGACCCTGCAGAGCCTGGGTCAGAGTAGGTTTAATAAAAACTCACTTAAAAAATAGTATAAATTAATCTCTAAGATACTAGCTTTTGTTAGGTGTGTTATAATAAAATACCGACACGTGAATAATTTACTTTATAAATACAGTGGAAGTTAAGGCTTTCCTTGTCCATAACACACTCACTTGTATTCCTCAAAGATTCCTTGAGTAGAAGACAAAAGGTGTGGAAAACTGGGGAATTGTTTATGTCAGGGGAATGTTTCACTCATGAGCAAGTCCACTGAGGAGAAGGTTGAGAATTGAGAATCATTTTTCAGTCTAAACTAGGGCTACTCAGAGTGTGGTCCTCAGACCTGCTGCATTACCTGGGACTTAGACACAAATGCAAATTCTCACCACTACCACCCCTGCCCCACCCAAAGCAGACCTACTGAGTCAGACTCATGGGCCAGGGGCCCAGCCCCCTGGGTTTCAACACATTTCCCAGTAGTTCTAGTGCTCCCTGATGTGAGAAGCATTTTCCTACGGATGCTTCTCAAGGTGTGGTCCCCTGGCCAGCACCATCAGCATTGCTTAGGAACTTGCTAAAACCCACCTGAGACTCTTTCACTGGGTGCTGGCAGGTGATAACAAAAATGCTCTGTGGCACTTTCCAACATTCAAAGGCCACAGAAATGGCAAAACTGAACATATAAGATATACAATTCTTTCATAAAAGTTCTCAGATGTGCCCTTTCTGGAAAGAAACTGAAAAGATCTCCTGTATCTGCTGTCACTAGGGAATTAATGATAAAACCTTACAAGTCTTCTGCATTCCATCCCTCCTCTGGATCTGCGGACCCACTGCTGAGTCAGCCACTCTGGTGGAAGAGGCAGGGGTCTGTGCTATAACAAGCCCTACAGGTGGATGTGCCCTCATAGTAGAGAGCTGCAAGAGTAACAGTTCCATCCAATTGCCTGTGTGCTCAGCCATGTAGAGCTAAAGGAGTGCCTGCCTGCGCCTGGTTTGGTGTGTGTGGGAGGTGTCCCTGATGCTGAGTTGGGCAACTGCTGTCTCTGCCAGCACAGGGCCAAGACGTGTAGCCTGGAGGGCAGGAGCTTGGCCCACTTGCAGTGATATGACCATGCTTGGATTCTGGGCGGGAAGACAGCATGGTTTGGAAGTGGAGATCTTTTTTTCTTCACTTTTTCCATGCTCCAGCCTCCACACAACCCCCAACCAGCCCTGCCCAGCACCAAGTCATGAACTTTAGCTCAGAGCCTGCAGATCAGGGGTCTGGAGGCTGCCGGGATCTCCTGTGCTTACTGGCAGAGCCAGCTCCTGCTCTGTGGAAGACGGGTCCTCCTCTCTGAGGTGGGCTCATAGTGCCTCAGGCAGAGGCCCTTTCACTTGGGATCCCAGGATGGCTTCAAAATGCTTTCTCCTCTGGTCACTCAGGGATGGCCATAGCTAATGAGCATATTTTTCCAAAGGTATTTAGACCTCTGATGTGAAGAACTCTCTAAAAATGAACAAGAGGACTAATGCAAGAAAGGTGAAGACAGATGAAGGTAGGGCTTAGGGCTTTAACAAGGGGCTTCTGCTGTGGGGCTGGCTGAAGTCAGAGGATTTAGGGTGGAACGACAAAGGTGTGGCACAGCAGGTTGTCCCTTGTGTTGCATTGGCTGAGGGAATAATGCACATCAGGGAGATGAGAGAGGGCATTGCTCATTTCGTCCCAGACAACTTTAGGTCCTCCTCTTCCAGATGTGAGCAAGGACCCTGACCTTCAAGGCATGTGGATTCTGTATCTGCTGAGGAGACAGAGATGAAGAGTCAAGTCTGTGCCTGGAAGCTCTGATGTGTGCTTTCTAGTGAGAGGTTCTGTTGCACATCTTGCCTTCCTGGGTCTGAGTATATTCTTGCAGGGAGATGGGACCTTCCACAGCCCACTGTTTCCTGCCAGATCTGTCCCCAGTTGAGCTCCAGCTCCTGAGCACATGAAGCAGCCTGAGAATAACTTTAATCTGCGTCTTCTCTGGATTATCATCACTTGCAGTGCTTTTTACTGCTTCAGGCTGGAAATGGCAAGATGAACCTTTAAATTCCTATAGAAATAACCACAGGAATATAAAATCAAGGGAAGTAGGCACTACTTGAGAAAACAGGGGAGTGTAAAAGCTGCAGGAAAGAAGTTTTGAGGCATTTTATTTTAGACAGAATGAAGTAGCAAAGGGAAGAAGGAAGGCCTGCTGTGCTCATGATTTAGTACCTGCGTAGACACAGGTTGTTTGGTAAACTAACGGGCAGAATTTCTAGTTAAGCCCCCCCAACCCCAAAACACTCAAAACTTCTGGCCAGGAGCTACAGTAAAAATTTATGGCTTGTTGAGCCCTTTAGACTTAAGTTCAAACCTACCATTTGCTGGTTCTGCAAACTAGTCAGCCTTGGTCTCATATTTTGTTAAACAGGGATATAAACAAAAGAGTGCAGGCAAGAAGACCTAGCCAAAATGTCCATAGTTACCATTTACTGATTACTATAGGCCAGGTACTGTCCCAAAAGCTTTACATAAATTATTTACTTTAATCTTCAAGGAAGCCTTATTAAGTTGAAATTGTTTTAATTACCATTCTATACATGATGCAACTAAGGTTTAGAAGGGTTAAGATACTTGCTCCAGGTTCACAGCTATTAAAATGGGTAGAGAAGGAATTTGAACCCCAGCAGTCTAAGTGCAAAGACTATGTGTTCAAACCCTGAGCTACACTGGTCCAAACCCTTAAAATATATTTATTTAATCCTTATAATAGCCTTATGGTAACCATTTTTATTGGTGAAAAAAGGAACTTCAGAACTAAACAATATGACATTATATAAAGATTTGAAACCAAGCGTGCTTGATTCTGAGTTCCCTACTCTTTATTCTTATGCTGTTCTTTAATTGACATGCTGTATGGAATGTCATTCTGTTCCCCAGTTTTGGATTACATTCTATTCCCATTGAATACAGGTGTGGGATGGCTATTATGCATGACTGGGAGAAAGTCAAAATGTAGTTCCAACACCCTGAATTTCTTTGAAGAATTGAATCATTGTATGTAAGAGCCTCTAAATTGCCTAATTTCTCTTTGCTGGTAGAACTCATGGAAAATATTGGGCTTCCTCTGGAACTGCTTGAAGAACATGACCCTCAGCCAGCCTATGTCACATATACCTCCCCAATGGTGAAAAGACTCATTGAGAATAGCAAGGCTAGAGAACTGGAATGCATTCAAGCTTTTGAGGATAGCCAGCGAGCACTGAGGCTGAATAAGCCATCCAGTATCATCCAGCTGAAAAGGAAAAAATCATCCAAGACCTCTGGCAAAATGGTGTACAATGACATGAAGTCAGAGACCATGTTATCATTATGGGGCGCTTTCTCTGCAACAGCCACAGGTCCTACCATTGTCCCAGAACCCATGCACTTCCATACAGATGCCAGAGAAAGTCCCACCGAAAACTATAACAAGATCATCTTCTCCCGAAAACCTACGATGAGGATGCTTCCATACAGCTCCCTTCTTGCCAGCAAGGAAAAACATTAAAATGTTTAGCAAGGAGTCCCTGCAGCCATCTCCCAAGACTGTACAGCAGTTAAGCTTCATTTGTCACAAAACTCACTATGTTCTTTACATTTGAACTTGCCCTGCTCATGCAGAGGTTGGCCTAGATAAGCCAGATCAGAATGTATGAGGTAGGTGGGTGGGTGGGTGGGTGGGTACACCCCCTCCAGTATCACAGTTGGATGGAGCTGGAAAGCCCCAAGCTCTAGTTCTCACTACAGATGCTCAGGACCTAACTGTGGGTTAATGAGTCTGGGTCCAGACAGGAGACAAGAGTCACACCAGTTATATTATTAGAAATAATTTAATGTAAAGAATCATTAACTAGGGAACTGAAAAGGCAGGAAGTGAACAGAAAATTAGTAATGGAAGTAGTGCCTGTGGGAAGCAGTTATCCCCTCCAAGGCTGGAGGTAGGGTGGCGAGGAGCAAAGAGACTTTCTGAAAGTGAGACACTTGGAGAAAGCTCATGTGGGCTGAGTCTCAGGGCTCTCTCTGGGTGGGGATGCTTCTCTCTGGAGCTGGTGTCTCCAACTCTGAGGAGAGCCACTGTGGGCGCAGTACCACTGCCTTTGAGGAGGGGCAGCTGTTTGGGCTGTGGTTGATTCTGTGAATGTTGGAAAAGCCTAAAACTGAACTCAGATTCTTCTGGGAGTAATCAGTCCATGACACTGCCTGAGTGAACAAGAAGTGTTGCTAGGGGAACCAGACAGGGAGGGGAAGCCAACAGAGATAAACAGGAAGTAAACCAAAAAAAACAAGTCCCTTCCTCCTCCTCCAGCCTCATAGGCTCCCCTACCCATCATCTGCTGTAGGCAAAGTCTGCCAGGGAGGAAAGCAGGAATGTGGGCTGCAGAAGCCCAAACCCAACATCTCCAAGAGTAGTACGAAGGGATGGACTTAACACCAAAAGAAAATCAGCTGAAGAACCAGCACAGCGGGGTTCCTCAGTGATCCCTCCTGGCTGCTCCATTTGGCACCTGAACCTGGTATTGAAGTGTTTTTGCCCTGGAAGGTTTACAAAGTGGCAGTGGGGGGCTCGACTGTTCCCTGCTGAGAAATGGAGGGTTTTCTGTCCTGTACTTCTTTAAGGCTTGCTTTGTGGAGCAGAGGTAGCTAGGGAGAAGTTTGTGGCTGGACCTCAGCTGGTTCACACCACAGCTATAACTTGCCCACTCAGGTTCTGAGCTGTTTCCAATTGGTCCCAGAGCAAGTTGTTAAGCAAATCAGTGTCAAAGCAAACAGGCTTTGTTTTTAGACATAAGGGGATCTGGTTATGATGGACAGGCCCAGCTGGTCTCAGATTTGTGTTTATCTTCTGAGCCTAGTTCCATGGGTGGCTTTTCTTTTCTTTAACATCACCCAGGTCTCTGTGTTTATATCTCTGAAGCAGTTATCAGGCTTCCCTCCCAGAGATGGAGAGAATGAAATGTGCTAGTTGCTAATAATGCCATTTGAGAGAGTTGCATTTGCCCTTTAATGCATTCTCACCCCACCAGGGTCTTGTGGAATCATTTGCACTCAACTCTGGCTGCCACGAGTTGTGCTGGGGCAGCCACACAAATGAGGAACTCCAGGCCCACTCCTGTGTTCTCAGCGCTTGGCCAGGATAAGTTCTTGAAACAACATAGATGGTTTCCAACTAATCCATGTAATGGTATTTTGTGTGAATTGAGCATTTATAGACATGGAGGCAGTTAGTGGATAAATCCCTCCAGCAAGATTTTTTTTCTCTTTTATCCTTCCATGGAAGTTAATAGCCAGAGTAGATTTATGATTATTTAGCCCCATGGAGTGTTGGAGTTTATAGGAATTTGGAATTATTTCTTCCAATCCCTTTGAGGGCAGCGCAGTTACATTTTTTTAAAACTAAATTTCTAACTGCTTAATAATTTTAGTAAAAATAGAAACTCTCTAAGTTTGAATGCTTATTTTATAACTAGCATTGTTTTTTATTAATTTGGTTCTCAGCCTGTTAGGAAACAGTGATATGAGCCTTTTGCTCTGATGAGCATTGGTTGTATTTGTGACCGTAGCTCAGACTCGATGCCTCCTGAGGCAGGTTTAGGAAAGAAAAAGTCTAATTTTTAAAAAAATATGGGACTCTATTCCAGCCCAAGCTGGGTTTCACAGGTCTGGCCACATTTGTGTGAGGGCTGAGGAGGCTTCTGGGACATCACTCTCCCAGGGAAGAAGCCACTGTATCCAACCAGCTGAACCCAGGAGTGAAGCCTTGGTCCCTGAGGGATGAGGGGGGACTTGAGTAACCTGTGGTGTCTGTGGCTGAGATTTGTCTCCTGGTCCAGACCATCTTGAACTCCATGGATGTGGAGGTTCCATGGGTCCCATTCTTAAAGGGCTCTTTTGCTAAAATCCTGAAGGCCGTGTAGTAAAAATGAAAAGTTGGGAAAGGAACTGCTCTTGGTGTTGCAATGCACCTGTATGCAGGGGCCCACTGCCCTGGGTGTGGACACACAGATGCCAAGCTGGTGGAGCCCAGGGAACATGTGGCAGCACCAGCTTGCTCATGAGAACCCGAGAGGCATCCCTGGTGCTCCCAGGACAGGCATAAACCCAACCCTTCCCGGGCGGAAGGCCTGTCCAGCTCAAGCCGGCAGGGCATGGAATGGAATGTGGGTTATTCCTAGTGTAACCTTATCTGCCTGTCGGAGCTGGAGTAGCCTGGGCTGTCTCGGTTTACCTGAACATAGTGAACTTCCATCTTTAAGAGGGATCTAGCTTTCTCCGATGTTGCACAGTAGACACCTCTTCTTATTTATCTGCTATCATCTAGCATTTTCTGTTTGGCAGGAGAGTCTCCCTGCTGTAGTAGGTTCATGAAACAGCAGGGTATTCTGTGTGGCTCTATAACTAAGGCCCCATCCGGACATACTGAGGAGCTGCCTTTGAACAGATTCTCTGGCTGCTGTGCACAACAGGGCATTTACCCATTTGCAAATTTCATAACTGGTGTTCAAATAGTTGATTGTAACCTCAGTAACATGCCCAAGCCTGCTGGTCATTTTTGCTCTGGCAGGGCTGTTAGGACATCAAACCATTCCACATCCCAGGCATGGCCTGGGAGCACATCTTGAAGGAGATTAGGATGCTTGACAGATAAGAGGCCACAGTAAAGTATTCAAGGAGGAAATGGCAAAACAGAGGTGCTGGTGCAGGCTTGTGAAGCCAAGTGCTTGGGGTGGCCACGGACCCCTATCTGGAGTTGGGGACTGGGGTAGGCCCCACACACAGGCCTGAGAGAACAGTGGCCTGGTCCATGCAGCATATTCAACAAGTGCTGCTCTGCCTTGTGACAGCCCAGTCCTCACACAGGAAGCAGGAATGCCTGATAGGCCCCTCAGCTGTGTCTTTAGGACAGGAGGCACAATGTGGGTATCCTGAGCTGGGGCTTTTGACCCTTTGGCTTTGAGTGAGGTCCTCAGAGGTAGCTGAAGGGGTAGTCTAAAGGGAGAAGGGGTGTTGCAGGAGTCCCAATCAGGGACCCAGGTGTGTCCCTGGAGACAAAAACAGGAGCAGAAACCCCAGCTCTATGTCACAGAGGTGATAACAAAACTGTAGAAGTGCTCTGGAGGATGTGCACGGGCAGATGTCCACATCTGGATACTGGAGCCTTTTCATCTGTGGCTGAGTCATTCATTCCTCGAAGCTTTAGGAACCCCCACCCTTCAGCAGTGATGGGCACATCTTCAGAGCCCTGGCGGTGATGGGCTTGATCAGTTCCAGAGAAGACAGTGTGAGAGATAGGGTAGGGAAGTAAATGGACTTGAGATCTGTTGATCTGATGTCCTAGAGCCTGGTGTAAAGCACAGACTTAGGTTTATGTTTGTCAGGTAACTAGTAAATTCTCCCCCTTCCTCCTTCACTGCCCTTTCCCCCATGCCTATCTCTTACCAGGGGCCCAAAGCCTCAGATGCTACTTAGGTACTTGGAAATCCAACAACAATATCCTAAGCCTATAGGGCATGGCTGGGCCAGGCCTGTCACTGACACTGATCATGCATGTGGGCTTCTTCTGGGGCACTTTTCCCCAGGGGAAAAGGGACAGGTGAGGCCAGCAGGGGATGCAGGAGCACCTCAAGTTTAGGTGGGCCCCACTGCCATCCCAAATTGTGTACCTTGATCCTGACCATGACTTGATTTCCATATGGGACAAAGCAGGATAAACAGTGTCAGGAAAAGGACACTGGACTTGGTATAAGGACTTCTATCTCTTCTCTCATGCTCTATAATCCAGGGCAAAAAAAAAAGTCCCACGTCACCTGAGGCCTTTCTAGGAAACCTTGCTGGGACCCGACCAAGCTCATGGTACCAATTTATGTACTCTCCAGATTCAGCTGTTCAGCTACACAGAACATTCTATTATTTTTGGTAGACAAGTGATGTGCAAATCCATAAATTCCAGGCATATTTACACCCCACCTCTGTGGGACCAATTTTGTGTGTCTGCTGGTGGGGAGGATTCTATGGGAGCAGAATGAGTACCAGAGAAGCTTTCAACTGAAGGAAGCATGCCCAAAGCCACCAGACTGCTGCCCATACCTCTGTGTGTTGGCATTCATGTGTGTCCATTGCACTGCCCTGGCTGTCCCCTCACCTACCAAGTTGACTAGCCAATGATGAAATAAGTGAGCCCCTAGGGACTGGAGTCCAAGGCTAGGCTGCTTCTCCTGCACCCAGGCTCCTGCCTCCTCCTCCTCAGTTTCATCAGTGACCACCTCCCTCGCCTCAAGTCAGGCAGATGTGCTCAGCCGGTAGCTGGTGACCCACAGGTCCAGCTACGGTGCCTTCTGTTGTTACCTGGCTTTATTAGAAGTTTCCTGCCCTGGCTGGCATAGCTCAGTGGATTGAGTGTGGGCCTGAGAACCAGAGTATCATGGTTTGATTCCCAGTCAGGGCACATGCCTGGGTTGCAGGCCAGTTCCCAGCAGGGGACGCATGAGAGGCAACCACACATTGATATTT